CAAACGAAACAGTTCGCTCTACGGTTCTCAAGCCGTAGGTTTGTTTCCGACTGGAATTATCCTCCAGAGGAGCTAAAAATGAAATAATTTGACAAATGAAGTGCAGATTTACATCAGAAACTGTCAAGACTATTCGGTATATCACCGCGGAAATCTTGAGATGCAAAAGCATAACCGCAGATAACTATTTTAGACTGTTCTGCTTTAAGCTACCTCTATAAAAAAAGTATGAACAAATTCTGAAAAGGCACAAATTTGCTCAAAATTCTATAAAACTGTGCTTATTTTGGGCTTCCAAAAATAAATAAAAGTCGTTAAAAAATTGCGTTTGCACTTACTTTCAGCAAGAAATGTGAAAAATAGACCCGAAATTCTTTTCCCATTGCTGATTGACTTCACCGAAGGTACCAGTGGATCTGGACAAATAACGCCACACACCGAAGCTGATGAGATTTGAGGAGGCCTAAAAATAACCACAACATAAGGCAGATGCAAAAAAGAAGTACCCACAGATCTGGATATTTTTTCTTCATCCCTTTCAAAGCTAATGATTATAATAATAATAACTGTATGCAAAAAGTAATAATGTTTATGATCGCAATAAAAATTACGATAATAACAGTAATGGCGGTAACAAAAAAAAAAAAATAACCGTAATGTTAAAAATAATGATGATAATGATACTGAAAATTATGAAAGTGTTAACGGTAATACCCTGGTGAGGCGTATGAACCCGAATAGATGGACATTTTCGAAAGCAACGGTGGAGAATGAGTCTTGAATTGCAGTGAACCCAAGCCAGTAGCATTTACCATTGATGTCTAAAAAAGAAAAGCCAGAAGAAAATGGTTCCAATGCAGTCACTTACCAAGAATAAATGAATGAGCACTTGTTCATCACTGATCTTCAAACCACCTTTCCAATCAAATGTGGATCAAGGACAACTACCCTAGGGAGGGGGAGCGATGGGAGGTGCGGAAGAGAGCTTTCTTCAGTTTCAGCTTAAGACCCGGACCTCTGTAGCACTGGTGCCTGTGCCGCAGGTCGGCGCGGAAGGGGTTAAGACCCGTCGCTCTCCGCTCCTGACGCCTATGTTTCCAATCCAGCTCGAGGAACCGAAAGACCGAGAGAATCAAAAGAGATAAAGAATCATCCATGATCTCATGTCCTTCAATTGTATGCAGTCAGTGAAACACTACGGATACGCTTTCTCGATAAACTGTATGGAATTTCCAGACCTCTTCCCCGTCCCCTCAACTGCATGCCAAAATATGAAATAACGGTTCACAAGAATAATTAAAAACAAAAGATGATGCCCCTCGCTTACCTGTAACTTCGATGTTTCGTTTAAAGTTGGAAAACTAAATGACAGTCCCTTCCAT